GTAAATAATAAATCAAAATTGTGATTATAGCTACAGCGTCAGCTTAACTGGGTTCGTTGCCGCTCTTCAGATCAATCCCGCTGACGGTTGATTGCTGATGGCAGAGATCGACAGATCTAGCTGAGACAGAGGAGAACGAAGGACCCGTATGGTGTGGTGGTGAACGCGTTAGCCTCCAGGAAGAGTAATAGCGCGTTCGTTTCCCACCGCAGACACCTCCAGTCCGGAGTTTTGCAAATATCTCAGCATTATTGAAGTTATATTTCGCAATATACCCTGCCATTAGAAAGAGTAACAATAAGCCAAAATTTTGTCCATAACCTTCATTGATGTTTAGTTCAATAAGGTTCTCTTCCGTGATTCTGTACAACTGAAAAATGTAACATCTCTGCAGTCTCATCTTACCTCTACGGGATGGCAGCACCGACAGCCTTTTAAAAGTACTTCGTTTCGGTGCTGATCTTGGTAAGGTGTTTCTTGGTGAAACACATCGAGCACACGTACTCGGCATCTCGTCGTAACCTCAAGAAATCCAGCTTCCAAGAAAGTAAACATATAAGTATAGATATTCAAATTAAAGTAAGTAGAATAACTAGTAAGTAGCAAAGCAAGCAGTATTAATAGACAACCAGACAAGACTTGGTAAGTAAACAAGCTTATAAAATATGAGTGAACCAGGAACAATTCCATTTCATGACTATGGGATCACCAACCAGCAACCTCCAAGACCACACTGGAACATAGATAGAAAACAAAAGAATGATTAAGAAAGCAAGTGAGAACTGGATTACAGGGAAACGTTACTTCCTATAGAACTATAAAATCGACAACTCGGAATAGCGGTCAAAAAAAAGAGGAAACTCGTATTCCATACTAGCAAAATAGAGCTTGCTACAGAGTTTTGTGATATTATGGCTAATTGTAAGCCATACGGAAAGAAACTAAGGGACAAAAAACTACGGGAAGAACGTCGTAAAATGTGAGCATAAACATCGGTTGCAGGGAAATAAAGGAACAGAAAAAGGCATTTCAGCATACCTCTTTAGATTGTTCAGCCCTCCTAAGCTTGCTATCAGCATTGTCTAAACCGATCAATCTAAAGAAATATACAGCTTATTTCCGCTAACGTTAAGTGAAGGTCGATTTAGCAAAGCATTAGGGCTTCACTTAGACAAAGGACATAATATTACCTTATGATCGCTCTGACTAATTACGTTAAAAACTCTAAACTACTTTGAAAACACAACAGATCAATGAAGAAGAAATAACCAGACAAGTAAGTAAGCTAAAGAAAAAGTGCAAAATCTCAGTTGCCTTGTGTTATGTTATACAAAGCAAAAGTCATTAGCCAGGGTAATGGGAAAGCGCCGACAATTACTAGGGTCTGCGAAAACTCGTACCAAGACGACACGCCCTCATCTTTACTTCAATTTTCTTTTATTTTACTTTACTTTGTTTTTCTTCCTTTTACTTTTATTCTAATGTTTTTGCTATGCAAACGTCAAACAGACTTCGGAACAAGTTGTTAAAGAAGATGATCCTGAAAACTCATCATTTCCATCGTGGAATATTTTGCTATGAAAGAGTTGCTCATCGCTAAAGACAAAACGTTTAGTGGAGGTATTAGAGGCCAAAGAAAGGAACTTCTAAGTGCTATTAATTTCGGTTATATTTTTGATTGTACAGTGAAGGATTCGATGCTCACTTGTACATATTGGAAAGCTTTGAACGCTAAACCAGCAAACATTGTTGTGTTAATGGTACCAGATATTGAAATAGTAAATAGAAATGGAGGTATCGGAAACCCACCCCCTACAACAGTTTACCGCCTCGCCGTGACTGGGAGGTGTTCCAGTGTGTCGGGCTGGCACAAGCTGGCGTTCATCCCCTCAACTGGGCCTCCCAAGCAGAGAAGGATTCCGATGTGTCCATCTAGAAACCCAGCTAAGAGTAAAGCAATACCAGGAATCATCACCGTCCTGCCACTAGTCGCATGATGGCAAATCTTCCTCTGATCCACAAGGGTGGCGGGTTTAAAATTAACAGCTACTTTGCAGCTTAAAATTGAATTACCAAGATCTCCCGTCTTATATCTACTTACCAAAACTCATTAGTTAATATCTGCTGATGACCCTGCGTCTACCCGCTTCTCTCACCTTCAAGGTTGGACGCATCATCGGTTGTGTACACGGGTCCACGGATAGAACGTCTTGGTTTATAAACCTAATTGTCATCCATTTGCCGAAACACATCCCAGCTCATGAACGCAGATCCTAAACGTTTTAGGTTAGCGGATTACACGTGGACTAGAAGTGACAATGCGAAAATGCTGACACGAGAGTAGATTGACAGAAAGATACTCCCATCTACTATTTAGGATTACATCTTCCGTATGAGTACAGATAGAGTCGTATATTCATGAATGGAGTTACCTACGTGAACGCCGTTTGTGGCTTGCACGGCAGCTTCTGCCAAAAGCCTCCAAACTGCTATAAAACTTTAAAACGAAATTCTCTAAAGTCAGTATTTACTCTTCGAAAGATACGATTTTGTCTTTAACAAGATTTGTTCAATACAGTACTGACTGTCGTTTCGGCGGTTTCACCTTCTTCACAGCCTGGAAGGGTCAAATTGGCATTGTAATTTATTCAGCCAAACAGCAGACTAAACTCAATGCATAGATTTTGGCCGCATAATAAACAGTTTCTTTCCAGTACTCACTAGTTTATTCTTTATAAGCATTCCAGTTTTTGTTGGAGACTAACCGCAAAGAGTCATACATGTGCGAGGAGTATTCCTTGCTCAGGTCGAAAAATTAGTATAAACTATGGAATGGAGTTTATTTGAAATCCTTTAAGACTTTTAAGTGCTGATGTTTTAGATTCTTGCACGAGGAGAGACTTTTACTTCAAAATCTTCTCCCTTATGTCTTTGTCCCCAATGTCTACCTAGTGGAGTGCTTTCTCAAAAGATTGATTCTCACTTCTAAATCGCTGGAACCTGACAGTTTATCTGTAAGTAGGGAGAAAACACTACTTTCACAGAATGAGATTCTAGATGCTACTAGTGAATGGAGGCCGTTGTTTGTTCAATGTCTCCCGTATGATGAGAGGTGAAACCTCGGAAAGAGGAATTACATGGATTCTAGAACGAATAATTAATGGAGAGCCATCTTATAATATTGTTGCAGAAGAGCTGAACGTCTAGCTTCGAGCGCTCTTTGAGTAGTGTGGAGTGTTCTTGACGTAGCTGAAGGATCAGCTCACGTCTCTGCAGCATAGCGGAGCAGTGGGAGAACCGGTCAATCGAAAAGATGAGCGCGGATTTTCGGTTTCTTCAGTTGGTCGGTGGCATCTTTGGGTGGTCCGAATGCGGCCCAAGCTGCTCTCCTTCTTCCATCTTGTTCCTTCCTCGTTATTTTCCATGTTCATTGATCGCCCAAGGTATACGTACGAGGCAGTCTCCGAAATCGGAGATCCAGCTCAATTTGTTCGCCTTGCACCATGAGTTTTTCATGGACGCTCTTCCGATTTATGCGTAGTCCAATCTTTCCCCAGTTTTGCTGAGCTCATTGATCATCGTTTCTGCTTTTCTGGTACTTCTTGGGAAGATGACAATGTCGTCGGCGAAACGAAGGTTTGATAGGAATTTTCCATCAATACGTTTGCCTTTCTCATCCCAAACGAGTGATTTCATTATCCACTGCAGTGCGGCACTAAACAGATTTGGCGATATTGTGTCGCCCTGACTAACCCCTTTTCCTATGGGTATGGTAAGAGGTTGAGTTGACGGAAAAGCTGTATTTTCGTAGTGCAACCGCGATAACAGTCAAACAGAGTTTTTATGTAGGAAGGGTCCACTCCTTGGTCGAGGAGCTGGTAAGAGTGCATGTATTTCGACACTGTCAAACGCTTTTTCACAGTCGACAAGGTTGGGACTAGGAGCAGGTGGTATTCCCGACAAACTTCCTTGACTCCGGACACAGTTCGGAAGTGGTCCATACAGCAAAGTCCTTGTCGAAATCCTGCTTGCTGCACTGCTTATGTCTCATCCAATGTCCTTGATTTGAGCGAGAGGATAATCGTGAAGAGCTTGTAGAGTACACTCAACAAGCATATTAGGCGATAGTTACGAAGATCCCTTCGGTCACATTTCTTGGGCATGATGGCCGTCCGCGACATTCTCCACTGGTCTGGGTTTTTTTCCTTTTCAAGGTAGGCTGACATATGGTTTGAGGACTTTAATTAGGCAGAAATAAAACCACTTTTCGGAAAAATCATAGTGGGACGGAAAACGAACTAAGATGGAATGCTTTTCTGGTATCAAGACCACGATTTACAGGTACTTAAGGTCTTCGTGTGACAGACGATTTGAAAAATGAAATACACCGTTGATGGGAAGCAGCATGGTTCATTTTCTGAAAATCACAGAGATGATCGATTAACTGGTAGATGCACATCTTCATACCGACCTCCGTCTGAACAACTGCTGAATCGAAGTGAATTTAACAGAATGCGGGAATGCTCAATGGCGTCTATCTATAACATGGTAGAGTTCCCTTTAACTCACGTTTACCAATTCACTCCAAAAATAATTATGAGTTATGAATAGTGGAATGATATTCGCCGACATCGTCATACAAGAAACATACTGGACATTTGTGAAAGGTCCGAAAACAGTGTTCCACGTGATGTTCTCTGCAGAATCAGTTTAGCAGTAGTTCTGCCAAAAGTTTTGTGTCATAGGTTTTTATAACTTTTCAGCCTATGACTGACTAACTTAATAGCTGTTGACATGAAAGTCTTCATTGTCTTCACCAGTTCGTTCTAACGACTAGTTCAAACATGTTGTAAATACAAAAAGGAGTAGTTACCATGATTAACCTCGGCATCGATGAAGTAGTTCTCTGTATTCTTGATGAGCAAAAACGAGTTTACGGCGCGTTGAGATCCACGTCCTACAACTTTCGTACGAGTCTATCCACAGGATAGATCTGCATTATGAACGACGTTTGCCGGCTATTCGACTTTCTTGCAGCACTTTTCGTTCTGCTCACTGGATGTTTAAGCGGTTATGCAATATCTTACTGGAATAGATATGAATACAGAGGACCTACGCATGATATTGTGGACGAAAGTGGGTAAAGAAGTTTCACCTCTCGTAATGTAATTTTAAAAGACATAGCGATTGGCGATAGTGGATTTTTTATGTACGGTAAGTGAAATCAACATAAATGAAGAACATGTACAACCTTAGAATTTAGGATCCTCATCGGGAAAGTTCTTTAACGATGTCAAAGTATTATGCTTGGTTATGACATTTTCAGTGAATCACAAATGGAAAGCACTACCGGTAGTGGTATGTCTCCTTAATAATTTGAGTATTGAAAACGTACAACTACACTCAAACGTATTGTTACGGCTCTTGAATCTTATTGCTTATCACCTACTTAGTCGAATCGGCCGGAATTCACAAATAATACGAACCATGGCACAATTTCCATTTGTTTCCTTGCCTCGTGATCATCAACCACAGTGGTGGTTTACTTCGGTTATGGTGACTCGATTATTGTTTGCATTTACAACAACAATTGATTGATATTACTTACTGAAATATTCACACATTCTGTAGTTCGTCATACCAGAAAACGCTTGCATCCTCTTCGAATCCACTCAACAGTTCTTTTCGTTAATAAGCCGTCAATTCCTCTCATCATATGATTGGCCCAACCATGCTTCGCTTCCGATGTGCATTTTCCTGAATCTTCGACATAGCGTAATTTTCGAAGGTCTGAAACTGATCTACGAACCCAGGCAATGCGTCTTGTGTGCTGATTATATTTCGGAAGATATGCTTTAAAATCTTCTAGTAGTGGGCTAGATTTTTGACACAGTTCAAGTGTCAAACCACGTTTCTCTTGCCCAGCACAGCGCTACGATGACCGTTGACTCGAGGAAGTGTGCGCATCATTTTAGATCTGTTAGACAATCTGTTTCTTCTCTGAGATATCCCAAAGCCGCTATAACTGCTCTCCTTCTTCTGTACAACCCCTTCTCCACGTCATTCTCCATACTTATGGAACTCGCTGGCTGCGATGTGGTCTCCGTAATCAGAGAATTATCGAATTCCATTTGGTCACCTCTGCACCATAAATTCCTCATAAACTGAGTTTTCTCCCCATTTATGCCTGTCATATCATCAGTAAGACGGTGAAGCATGAAAAATAATGCGCTCGCCGTTGTTCAATTCCAAACGGGAACAACGAACATTCGACCATTCAAGGATCAGAGGGGCCATCACAGAGGTGATTGAACGCGTATCTGGCTTGTACAGTGATTTTTAATGCTTACCAATGTGTTAAATCAATAATGTTCTCACCCAGATAGATCTAGATTCAATTTGCCGATCCTGGATGAAGTGCTTGGTGTGCCCGAGGTGCGCAATCCAACCAATGACTGGCCGTATATAATATGTGTAGTAGGACACTTCTAACCACTACGCCACATGCATCTGTTAGTAAAAGTACAATTTTTTAAGATGTATAAACTGTCCCAATTGATATCTTGAGGAGACATGGGGCAATCTATGCAATCGGATTTTATTTGTGTCAAATGCCACCGATGACGAATTACCCACGTTGATTGTGGATTTGCATGAAAGTAGAGATGACTTATGGCTAAAGACGAGAAACGCCTTTGAATGGATTTACCAAAATACATTGGTAGGATAGATATTTCAGTAAGAGTTTCAACTTTACCGTCAACTTATCTCCGAATTTAAGGACGATTATGACTGGTTCCTAAAAGCAGACGACGACACGTATTTCCATATGGATAATCTTAGAGGATTTCTCAAGGTGATTTAGAAGAAGCGTGAAAACAAACTCAAATAAAGCACATTAGGAATCTTTCGCAGAACGGAAGTGTATTCCTCTTAATATATCAACTTCTCGTGAGGTTTAACCCTCACTCCTATTCTGTTCTGGTTCTACCTCATTAACTGAGTAAATATAATAATTCCAACAATGTAGAACCGCTAGAAAATTATCTGGTGTTATAAAACATCATGAGTAAGAACGCCTTACACATAAACAGCAACAACAACAACACAGGCACGTTTTTAGTTATCATACGGTCTCCAAAGTATCACTGGTCGTTTAGTTAGTTTTCGTACGTGAAAGCGCAGTTTCTATGCTCACTGGTGGCCATTGTAGAAGGCAAAGCTGTTCTATGTATCATAATTAGACAACCATGAGTATTTTCTTGTAACTGCAAAGCAGTAAGCCACCACGGGAGCATTTTTGGAAGCTCTCAGCGTTGAATAATCGCTGATGGATGTGTCATGCATCCGATTCCATTCGCAGCATCGCAGTGATGGAAAGCGTACCTCACACTCAATGACTTGTAGTAGTTTACCGAACAATCAAGACAATTTCACTTTTTATTTGCTGCATAATCGTCTTTTTCTTATGGCAGGGTATAAAAATGAAACCGGCCGAGAGGAAGGCAAAGTGAGGGCCTCGGCTGCTGCAGTGGATAACACGTGAGCCACTTGAAAGGACAATCGCGGGTTCGAAGACCAGCCGAGGATCCGAGTTTTGCTCACATTTCAGCATTCTCGAGATTGCAGCAATACAGTGACTTCATCTTCTCAGAAAAATCCGCTACCGATCTGCCAACCTCAGATGGATGGAAGGGTTGGTGCGCTCGGGGTAACAGATCAAATCAGAGACCGATACAGTGTAAATCGCAGGGTACCTCTCACCACTCCGCTGTGCGCGCGCTTAGAAGACAATTCTTATAACCATCATTCAAGGTTCGATAAACATTTTAGTTATTGCATTACATATTTACAGAATTATTCACCAGAGCAACCATTCTCGATTGGTCACCTATTCAAAGTGAGCGGAATGCACGACACATACCACAGCGGTGGCGCAGGGTACATACTGAGTCGAGAAGCACTGAGAAAGTATTGATTTTTCACAACAAAATTTATATCGAAAATGGTTAGAAATGGTACATTTAGATTGGATGGCAAAGGATTCACTAGAGACGCAAACTGTGTTCAAAAAAACGAACACGAAGACCTATTTATGGGAAGATGTCTTAAATCCCTTGGAATAGATCTGATAGATGGCGCTGACAAAAATGGCGCTTACAGGTGAACGGACTCAAAGAAAAAATTTCTTGAAAATCTTGATATTGTAGAAAAACAGTGGATCATGGCTGGTTAGAGGTCCAAGAAGTTGTAATCTATAGGTGTAAAAGACTAGTTAATCTTTCAGATTTCATCCTATTGCCATTTGGGATCTTCTGACTAATAACGCACCGAAATGGTTAGCAGACAAGTCAGCGACACACTTGAAGGTTGGTAATTCACAAAATTGTGTGTGTACACAGATTTGGAGACAAAATTGGAAATAACTGTTCCACATCACTTGTTAGGTCAGTGAATAAGTTTTTAGGTTTCCTTAATTCAAACTCTTTTAAAATAGCCTGAGGCAACATTCTCAGAAAACGTAGTTTCCACAGTCTTCTACGCCTTCTTGCCTACAATCTGCAAAAAAATGATGCAACCTTGATAGAAGATAACCGATAAGAATTTATCTATCTATCTTTGCATTAGATATTTTTGTAGTGGTCTCCAGATAACTCATGGTGCTTAGAGCATTGAGAACGTGTTCCCGTTGTTCCAGCCCAAAAGTTGTATTAATTTTGTAAAGTTTTGATATTATGTCTTCTAGGCTTCATAATAAGCAAAGTACTTGGATCAACGACCGTACTGCTGATTCGATCAGTTTTTCTAAGTCTGCCAAGTATGTCATTCCGTGAATTGTCATATACCACCCACTTTCACTTTCATCTGAGGTTATTATCCGCCATAGGAAGACCCCTCACTTGTCTTGATAGCAATATTACGGTTGATTCCTAAACATCCACTTGTAAGTGAGTTCCTTATCCTCTCATACAAGTTAGTTTTTATTTGCCAACCCCGCAAGGATGACGGGTTTGGTGAACCCGGAATGCGTGAGTGATGCTGCACAGACTCATTGTATTATACCATAATGTAATTCGTCGGAGATAGCAGTATGCACTTCTGCATAGGGCTAATAAAATCCAGAACGTACACGAAAACCAGGTCAATATCAGGGCAGCGACTACGACACATTACTGTACGTAATCGTCATTAATGAATCTTACCTGTTGAAAAAGGGCGCGTGTGGCGCAGTGCTTGGAGGCGCCACTGCGACACACGTGGAATCGATCCCCGCGCCCATGGCCCGCCAAGCCTTCCATCCCTCCGGGGTCGGCAAATTGGTACCAGACTTCTCTGGGAGGATAGCAGCACTGGCTCGACACATCGGTAAGCCACCGCGAGTCATTGTGAAGGCCAGATATGCATTCAGTCACCTCCAACGATACTTAGTGAAGTAGAATTCATGGCGCATCCCTCAGGGATTGATCAATGCAGAGAGCTTTATTCTTTTATTTATTTTATACCTGTTGTATTGCTGTCATGTCTTCTAATGTTAAGACAAGGCAAACAGAGTGTGGTCGTCAACTCACACATGTGATCTTCGATAAAGCAAGGAAAACTGTTCATTAAGAAGTATTAAGGGCGCTATAAAGAACTGCTTATTGATGCTGCCAGCTGTATGCCACTTAAGGCCATTCGTTTTGTTAATCAATTACTAAAGCATTCACAACGTCTCGAAACGACATCATATTCTCTGAAATGTGGAATCGATGGATATAAAAAACATAAATGTGGCACGGAAATACACTTCGGCTGTCACACAAAACGATGCGAAAGGCTAGTAACATCGGTTAGTTAATGTACGAGTATTTTTTTCAACGCACACAAGAGTTAGATAACACACAAAAGCTGTTCAGGAACATGGGAACACCACCTGTATCACGCGTAGTCCCGTCCATTGTCGAGTGACTCGAACGGGTGCCAGTAAATCTTCCATTTTTCCCTGTCGTGTGCAAGATTAGCCTAGTGGGTTCTGCTCGCTCTAGGGACTCGTCGAGCATCATAACCTTCTCCTAGGCTCTTCGTGAAGAGCTCTGACCGTCGGGTCGGTGGTCTTCCTGCAGTACGTTTAACATCCCGAGGAATCCAGTCACTAAAGGCTCTTGTCCATCGGTTGTCGTTTATACGCATTATGTGTCCGGCCCACCTTATCTTCGACTGTTTGGCGTAAAGAATGGCATCTTTGGTTTTTGATCGTTGACGCAAATTGGAGCTTCGGATCCCATCCCTTACTTCTGTGAAACGGGATACGCCTAGCATCGTTCTTTCGACTGCGCGTTCGATAACGCTGAGTGATCTTTCATCCTCCTCACGCAGCGACCAGGTTTCTGACGCATACATTAGGGCAGGAAGTACCGTTGAGTCGAAAAGGTGGGCACGGAGTCGGGTGTTCCTTGTTCTCTTCACTACATCCTCGATACAATTGGAAACTCCCCAATCCGCTCGTTTCCTTCTGCTCAACTCTGGAACTAAGTCATTCGACATGTTGATTTCCCGAACTAGATAGACAAAACTGGAGCATTCGGAGATATTAGTTTCGCTGAGCGTGAATGGGGCATACGAAACCAATCGGTTCCTCATGAACATCGTTTTTGTGAAATTTAGCCAAAGACCAATCTTTCCACGGGCTTTATCAAAGTGGGCAAGCATACGTTCCGCTTGGCTAATGTTTGGTGTTATAAGGATGATGTTATCAGCAAAGCGAAGATGATGGAGCTGCCGGCCATCGATTTTCACTCCCATTTTATCCCATTGCAATGTTCGCGTGACGTTCTGGAGGGTGGCGGTTAATAATTTTGGCGAAGTGGTATCGCCTTGCCAAACTCCTCTTTTGACGTCAATGTTAATATCATTGTAGAATGGTGAAATCTTCGTTGTGAAATCTTTGTACAGCTCACAAGAATCTTTATGTACTGAACAGGGGTTCCTTGACTATCAAGGGCTTCTATGACTGCTTCTATCTTATTTGAATCAAAGGCCTTCTGTAAATCGATGAAAGTTAGGCAGAGTGGTCTTTTGTGTACTCACACTACTGTTATACTGGTCTGCACTTCACTTTTGTACTCACTGTACTAAAATGGGAACATACACAGAAGAATACAGCGGACAATTAGAAACTAGAAAAACATGGAAAAAGCGCGATGGAATCGAGCAGTATACTGATAACCTCAAAAAACCAGTGCTTCGTGCCTTTTGCGTGTGCCCATGGGCCGTACGTCTTGACTTCAATGCGCACCGCGATACCGCCTCATTGACATGCAAAAATGGTCCCTGTCATGAAAGGGTTAACTCATAACGCCCAGCATGGGCATTATGGTATCCATTTTCAGTTTAGAGCATTCCAGATTTTTTAGCGCAGTAGGTATGTTCATTCGACGGATAGTCGACATCGAGTCAAAATATTAGGGGTGAGAGCAGGAAAACCATTCTCTACATTTGATGATTCACAATAAACCTTTCTTCGAGAAATTTCATTGCTTGCTAATATGACTAACAATTAACTACTGTTTCCCGCACGTAACATCACGGCTCTGAGGAAGGCGAAGTCGCCGAAACGTCAGCCATCGATCAATAACATCAAAAACAACGACTACGACAACGACAACGAAGATCTGTACCAACCTCGCTTCAGCTTAAGAAGATCAGTTTATAAGATCACATAAATAACTACTGTTTCTTTTTAATCACTATACTGGCTGTATGGAGTCTGCGGATATAAGAAGCCCCCGAATAGACTCAACCTATGGTGTAAAAAAGCTTCAAGTGCTGACAATAATGATTTGCATAATGGACCACAGTAACACACAGTATATAGTAGCATACATATCATTCATACCCATTGAACTATGGTGAAAAAGTCTGTCCTACAATTCTGTCATGTTCACAAACTCTAGAGCTCCCTAGTTATTGAGGAATATTTTTCTGCCATCAAAAAATTGGAAAGTGAAGGTAAACGGCGTGCGTCCGTTGTCGACTGACTGTGAAGAAATATAGTGTTGTGCTCTTTTCACGCTTTTTTCGCATTTCAAGGCTGCTACGTGTCTGGAACATTTCTCCTTTCTCTCTATTCACAACGATAAAGCTGGTCCACTTTTTCAGTATATCTGTCATTCCATTTCAAAAGGAACCGATCTTTTCACATGAAGTCTAACGAAAAACAAAGTAGAGATAGGCAAGTAATACATTATTCGGATGTTTTATAGAGCAATAGAAACAGTAGAAAAACTGCTTCCATCATTCTTTTACTGTAAGCGGAACTCGAGGCTAACCATTTTAACGGCTTGATTGGTTTCAATGCATGAGGTCCTTTTCATTGTTTGCTTTCACCGTGAAAAATTTCTCTAAACCACCTTTTGTATTACATCAACTACTTCATTAACATATGTGTTGTATTGGCTGAAGCCCAAAAAGGCCATTTTCTTCATAACGCAGTCTTCAAAAAGTTGTTTATTAGCGCACGTTCATTCATCTCTGTAAGTCCTGCAGTGCTTCTTTGCCTATCGTACGTTGGACAGAATAAAACAGTTCCCGACGCTAAAGGTGCTAAAATGTGTCTGCACTAAGATCATTTTATACCGTACGTGAGTTCAATGCATGTGAGGGGCAGAGATAAATTATGGGTGGTCGTAACTGTATTGAGGGGTGTGAGTAAACAATCACTGTAATAGTAACCATACAAATTTGATTATTTCGAAAGAAGCCATTTTCGACAGGAGTAAAGAACTAAATACCAAGTAGAGAAGATATTCTCGTTACGTTGCACAATAATAGAGCAGGTGGTTGATTTTTTTCCGGGAGATATTCCAATTGTGACGGGATACGCTTTCCAACTACAGAAGCAGTCTCACCTAATATTCTTGGGTAGTCGATTGGCGAAATTCTATACATGTGAAGATTATATATACATGAAAGTTCTGTGTGGCTATTTGCCAACTCTTACCGTATTTTAGGAGGAATTTCTTTGTTGTTCGTCATATTTCATCTCAATGCACTATGTAAATGGAGACGATCAGTATATGGTAGAATACGCATTACATCGTCTTAGGCCGTATGGAATGGAAGTGCAGCTATAATGGCGAAGCGGAACGAAGATCATGCAGTCTCTAGAAGTGCAACTTCCTGACCAAGTTGAATTGCTTTCTATTCATACGATCTTGAATCTGATTTTAGCATCATTGGTCATAATAAATATTGAGGTCGTGGATGGTTCATACATGCTTAAGCTCACAAGAAAAGGTGCGTGTGGCGCAGTGGTCGTACGCGCCCTGTAGCACACAAATGGGATCGATCCAGCGCCCCTGGCCCATCAAGCCCTCCATCCCGCCGGGGTAGGCAAATCGGTAGCAAACTTGTTTGGGAGGATAACAGCCAGGCTCGGTACACCGTTAGACCACCGCGAGTCACTGTATAGGGCAGATATTCATTCAGTCACCTCCAAACGATATCTTGAAGAACATTCGCAGAGGTGAATACGGCAAGTCATCCACATACACTGGTGTCTATGAAGAGATTAAAACTGTATTTATACATTAAAACGATTGTTACAAAAGAAATCGATGCAGTGAATATAACAAATACGCCGGTCGATGTTGGCTCGAGCACGACCGCCGAATCGGAGATCAAATTCGGTGGGGCAGGACGTGTTTACGATAAGAGTAAAGACGAGTCCTTAATATTGCCTCTTCCTGAGTTCCAGTTAGTTTAAACCGTTCTGTCACTTTCATGTCGCTTTCTTCCTTAATAGGTGCGGCAGTTACTTTCTTGTTATCCTGAGATGTTTGTAATCCTTCCAATAACTTCAATGATGCTAAGGTATTTGCAAAACTTCGGACCGCAGGTGTCTGCGGTGGGGAACGAACGCGCTATTGTCCTTTCCGGAGAGTAACGCGTTCACCACCACGCCATGCCGGTCCTTCGTTTCGCCTGTCTCTCAGCTAGTGCTATCGATCACTAGCCATCAGCAATAACCCGTCAACGGGACTGATCTAAGTAGCCCAAATCGGCAGCGGACCTAGTTAAGCTGAGGCTGAAGTCGAAATCGCAATCTTAACATTTTTATTTACTGCCTACTATAATTTTTAACGGCAGGGTATCATGTGAAATACAACTAAGATGATGATGAGATATTTGCAAAGCTTGTTTGGAAAACGAAGGACCTATATGGTGTGGTGGTTAACGCGTTACTCCCAGGAAAGGACAATGGCGCGTTCGTTTCCCATCGCAGACACCTGTGGTCCGGAGTTTTGTAAATATCTCAGCATCTTTAAAGTTATATTTCGCTGTATACCCTGCCATTAAAAAGAATAAGCAGTAAATAATAAGTTAAGATCCTTTGAATATTCCATATTCCTCGATTTTGTAATGTTACTATATGCCCCTTTCTAGGTTTCAGAACTTGCTCGTGAGCTTTCACTGAGAAAAAGATGTCTATGGCTAGCGTGATGCCTGTTAACGTGTTTGTGCGAACACGACCCTTGAACGAGAAGGAATTGCTTGAAAACGCACAGGAGTGCGTTGAACTCAGCCTAGAGTCGAATCAAGTGCGTTTCCTTCCAGCTGTCTAATGAAAGTGGGTTCTCTTCATAAAATATGGTCCTTAACTGGGAATTTGGAATGGCGTGTGTAGCGCAGTGGTCGAAGGAGCCGTAGAATACTCCTGGAATCGATCCCCGCACCCTATGCTCACCAGGCCCTCCATCCTTTCGGGTCGGCGGATTTATAGCAGACTTGTCTGGAAGGATAGCAGCACTGGCTCAATACATTTGCAGGCTACCGCGAGTAATGTAAAGGCCAGATTTTGTTGCGCAGTCGGCTGGGTTTCAGTCTGTTGCTACGCCGACAGTGCTGAATTACTTTTTTCAAAACATATTCTGTTCGTAGAATTTCTTGGTTTTTTGCTAGTACTCCCGCCGACTTGTCTAGTTTCTTCGTTCATGTTTAGCTGGGGTCGACTTTGAAATTAGGCAGAATTAGTATCTGTGGAACAGAGGTGTCGTATTTTAAGATTGTGCATATATAATGGGCCAGACACATTGCCATTGCTAGAGTATTTAGTTTGAGTTTTGGATGGTAGTGTTGTGCTTGCATGAAGGCGATTTAGATTTGCCTTTGAGAAGGCCTGAAATGTTCGACATGTAGTAAGCGCAAGTGACCACACATTGTTTGTCGGGTTCTGCGAAGAGTCCTGGTTTGGTATGGGCTCCAATTTGGGTAATTCTTCCTGGAATATTGATTTCACTTTCGAGAGTAGTGCCTAATGGAGGTTCCATATGTTCTGAAGAAATTGTTTTCCTTGTAAGGTTGGTAATGTAAATCATACAATTGGGTCACAGGTAGGAGCCGCTTCCCCGATGACTGAGTATTTAGCTGGTTTTGGTTTATTCGGATATCTGCATAGAAGCACTAGCTTGTCTTCTTTCGAGTGCAGTGTTATTCCTAGAACTTTTTAAACACTTGTTGATGCGAAATCCCTCGGTCGATTTGATGGATCATTTGTTGGTCGTTCGTTAGAAGTTCTCCATCGTCCATACTTAAATCTTCAAAAATTTCCTTTGATTGCTTATATTTGACGAAGCGCTTTATAGACGGCCATGTGATCTTACCGTTGTTGGCACATGTATTGTTTGTAATCTTGTGAGCGAGCGTCGTGTTGGACACTTGAGTTTTTAAGCTCTGCTCAATTGTTCTTGCTAGGAAGAATGGCAAGGAATTAAGGCCGAGGGTTAGCCATGTGAATCGTTGATGTCTCCTAGTTGCAAACGTTCTATGGTGTCGCTGTTCCATAGAAGTTCAGGAGCATCTCTTTTTTGCTCACGCAATTATATTTGCTAAAAGACTTCGTCTAATACGAAAAGGAATTAGAATTTCGCATATTGAAGGTAGGAAGACTAATCTTGATGAAGGACGTCTTTCATTCAGAGAGACAGGGCGTTGTTATCCCGACTACAAGCTGCGCTTTTAAATCAGCCTAACCAGAGTCCGCAGCTGATCGTCGCCACCACAGTCGGCAGTCTACGCCCTTGTGGATCAGAGCAAGATTTGCCACCATGCGACTAGTTTGACAGCAAGACAGTGGTGGATCATGGTATTCGTTTATTCGTAGCTGGGCTTCCTGATAGAAACGCCGGGCTACTTTGTAAACACCGTTGGGAGAATTGTTTTATTTTCAGTAAATAATGCTTAGTCCGTTTAGTTCGGTGATCTCTATCTTCGCAATATTGTGCTAGTAATATTTTAGTCACAGCAGAGAGATTCGAAGCGTAGAAGGCGTCCACGCGCTTTATCATGTATAGACTTCAAAAGCAACGTGTTAACAACTGAAGAGGAACGTCGTACACGTGCTTCTAGAGCAAGCATTCAGAGATATCGGAGTGTCTGTATACTCTTTTCCTTAAATTTTTTAAAAAACGCTTTTCTGTGTATTCTAGTGCTCTTTTCAAGGTTAATAACAATCACACCACACCAAAATATATGTGTTACCTTCAAATAATCCTTTTCAAGGTTAAAAACTCAACCGGAAAAGTGGATGTGGACTCTGATGTGATGTAGATGAAACTGTTATGGGAGAGTCGCAGGCTCCAGCGAAGGAGCCAAAGCGAGAACAAGAGCAGAAAATTGTGTAGGTTCTATTACAAGTGATTTCTTAAATAGTTATTCCGCTTAGTGAGCATATATGGCTTCATGCTTTTTTAAGAATTCGTTTAATTTTATGTCGTCTTTTCAGCACGGATTTATCTCCAATTCTTGGTTTAACACAAAGTACTGAGAGCCCTGCTAGTGGCTACATCTCACAACGGAGTAGGCGTCAATCAATGCAATCACTTGAGCCGCTATGAAAGGATGCGATGTTGACTAAGAAAGAGGTGAGAATTACGAATGTTTAAATATATCTTGATGTAAACTATGTGCTGTTTTAAAATATATTATGGAATGAAACATTTGTTCCGCATGACAGATCTGCAGTTTCTCTGGATTATGACGCCGATGCTAGAACATTTGGTTATATTACGTCTGATTCAGTTGGATGATAGCAAAGCGTTTGTCTATGAAGATATTTTTTACAGACCTACGTGTATACTGTTTTTATGGGCAGTAATATATGTGTTGTTATTAAATTCTACAGCATGAGGTTAATTGTTGCAGTTAAGTTGGAGAGTAAAGAAGCCTAGTCCCGGCCCGTCCTCACTGGTTGTGCGGGCCCCAGCATAACCACCATTTTTCGGAGATTTGCTGGTTAAGCCATGGTGGTTCCCTGGAATCCCGAAGTCAACCTAGCCAAAGTCTACTCCAGGTCCTCGCCACCACGGCCTGTCGCAGCCCTTGTGGATCAGAGGGAGATTTACCACCATGCGACTTTGATACCAGGAGGATGGTGGATCCTGGTATTGGTTTACTCTTAGCTAAACTTCCTGATAGAAACGCCGGACTCTTTCTCAGCTCGTGAGACCTTGCCAGGAGATGAATCCCCGCTGTACATCGCGGCCCGACAGGCGGTAAACCGTTGGGAAGAACTATTGTATTGACGGGTATAGAAAGTAAAACATATAAAGCTGTCGGCGTTGACCAATTCCTGAGGGATGCACCATGCATTCGACTTCATTAAGCATCGTTTGGAGGTGATTAAATGCCCATCTGGCCTTTACACAGACTCGCGGTGGCCTACCGATGTATCCAGCCAGTGCTGCTATTCTCCAAGACAGGTTTGGTATCAATTTGCCGACGCCGGATGGATGGAAGGCTTGGTGGGCCATGGGCGCGGGATCGATTCCACATGTGTTCGCTGACGAGTTGCCACTGTCAACGATCGCTATTTGGGGATCTCACGACTGAGCAGAGCCAGACACAGTAGATGATTCGACATGTAGA